TGTGTGTGTGTGTGTGTGTGTGTGTGTGTGTGTATATATATATATATATATATATATATATATATATATATATATATATATAATACTTCTAATTTTCTCCCCTGATAGTTATAATTCTTTATTTCTCACCTTAAGCCATTTATACCATTTATTCCATATTCTGTAATAATCTGTCTCTTCTTTTTCTTTAATTTCTTTTGTTTGCTTCATCATCTTCTTCATTATTTGTATTGTTTTAAAAATGCAGGCTAGATTGCACTACCTTGGATTTTTTGTTATTTCTTGGCAAGAACAGCAAACCCAACTATTTTCACAGCATGCTTCTAAGGGCTGATGAACAAAAAACTTGTAATTTTTATCTGGCCCCCATGTTCATCCACATGAGTCCCCTATTCTTCCTCTCTGTGACATCTTCCACACTTTAATTTAGCAGGGAAATAATGGGGAAAATGTCATACAAACTGTTGAATTATTCAAAGTGTTACATGACAATCTTAATTACTGTGAAAGTTTACCATTGGAGATCAGTACCAAACGTGTTCTAGCTAATTTGATTGGCCTTTACATTGACATTTTAAGCTTCCTTGGTCCATTTAAACAAAGAAGTGGACATGCTGCAAAACAATACCTGGCTAAGTTCCAACAAGTTGGGAGCGTGTTTGAAAGAAAGAATGTGAACACAGAAACAAACTTCCTTTATCTTAAAGCATACTTTGTATTCTGCAGAATCATTAAAATGTTTTAATTTTCTGAGCCATCTGCTCAGCAAAGAAAATAATAGAAAATAAATGAGCTAAGTGACCCACCTCTTTTTGTGAAGAACTCTATAGATGTTACGGTGAATTTTGTTGATCTATACATGACTATAATATACTGTACAAAATTCAGTGACAGCAGCTCTCTATATATTTACTTCAGGAGAACTAATTGGTTTCTGTGGGGTTTGCTGGTTCACAGGTTCATGCAGAACTGGCAGTATGCATCTTTTTAGAAAGCACATGCACATTAAATGAACGAATAAAAAATACATTCATCTGATTGTCCAAATGTTACCAAGGTTACTTTACTATACAATAATTTAATAACTATATGAATGATGTGTCTTTATCTTTTGGTTGACAAATATAGTTTGTAAATAGTAGAAATACACTTATAATTTGCTAGATCAAGGGTTTTTCATTAGTGGCCATAATATCTGGGGATACTTAAAGTTTATTATTTAACTACAACTGGAGGTTCACAGATTTATCTTTCAGACATAGAGTATAGATTCCTGTATAGTAATGTATGGGTGTGTGCATGTATATATTAGCATCATGCAATGATTCAGAGTTAAAAAAGGAAAAAGTATTTTGGAAGGCATGTGGGTGCATACTTAACATCTGTTAATTCATTCAACCACATGTGTATCTTCTCAAAATAATGTTTATTATCCCAACAGTCCTTATGAGGGAAGACACAACTGTTTTAAGATGTCTGTATGTTACCATGACTACATCACTCTCTGACTGCCTTTCAGCTCCCTCCCTGCAGGGAGATAGGGCCCATTTGATTGGTTCATGTGGGTCCTTCTAAATCCTTCTACCTTTGAACATATAAAAGTCTCAATACCATTATGTTATATAAAAACAAAGTTCCATAAATTGTCTCCATTTGTCTATCCATTAAGCTTTTCTGGCTGCTTTTACTTTGCTATAAACCCCTTAGAGTCACTTCTAGGCCAGATGGGCAACATATAAATTTAATAAATATAAATAAATTAAGTAAATTAAATAAAGGTCTCTGGTTTTAATTGTGCACTCCAGGTTCCTTCACAGAGAATGAGGTGGCTGGATAGAGTCACTGAAGCAGTAGGTGTGAGCTTAAATGGTCTCATCCCCTTAAATGGGGATGGTAGAGGACAGGAAGGCCTGGAGGAAAGTTGTCCATGGGGTCACAATTGGTTGGACATGACTTTGCAACTAACAACAACAAAAGGTTCCTTCAATTAAGTAATGCCATCTATCAGGACCACGGAAGTGACTTTTTCTGTCACAGTGCTTGCCCTCTAGAATGAAATTCCTCTGACTCCTACCCTATTTGTGTTTCAGAGGGACTAGATTTTCATCACCTAGGATTTGACAAAATAATTAATGTCCCTTCTGGATAGTGTGGGCCTCTTTTCTTCTGGTCAGTTTATTTGCCATACTTTCCTCCATATTTTTATTTTTGATAGTTTTACTGTTATTTTTCTGTATTTTTTAATTGTGAACTTGCCCAGAGTCATTGAAAGCTGGATGGTATACAAACTGAACACATAAGTGTCCTCATGCATGCCAAAGAACTTTCTTCTATTTGAATCTAAAACTTTATATAATCTTAATGGGTATGAGTGCATTTATGTGTATTTAAGGATATGTGATGGACTCATTTATATACATATGAATACATACAAGAGTGCTATAAACAGCTCCTGATGAATTTTCAGAATACAGGCACTAACAAAATGAAAGACAAAGACACGTGCACAATATTTGCATATTCTAATTTATATGTTTCTGTGTAATTATAGATATAATTACACAAATAGTATAAACTGACATAAAATAATTATGCAGCTGATATAAATGGATGAAAATAACATATCTTTTATCAGTTGGGCAGGCTATGGAAATAACAGACCTTATCTTGCATTTTGGAGAATGATGTCTGTATGTACCTTGGATCCTTTGTAGTACATTAAATGGTGATCCATTTAACCAAGGTTTCAGAATAATGAATTTTAAATGTCATGAGAGTCAAGCTTATTTGCCATTCAGATCAGCCCTCTGAATTCTTTGATGAATTGCTATCTCATTCCTCCTACCCTGAATAACACAAATGTTATCCTCCACGCAAAGTCTTTCAGCAACATGGGGAGTTTGAATTATGAATGGAATTTGAAGATGGTCAGAGTTAGAAGGGTTAAATTCATCATATATTGAAGACCCTGAAATATAATTCCCTGTAAACTAAGCTTGGGAATGTAGATCTAGTGGAAATTCTGGAAGACAAACTGTAAAGAAAGGGGGCATAACTTTTCTTGAATTTGCAGTCTGAGTGATGAAATTACTTTAGTTTCCTTTTTAATTCTGAGCAAAGGTTAGAAGCTAAGCATATTTCCCAGGAAATATCATATAACAGATTATGGTCTTTTTTTTTCCTGCTTGAATGAGTGGTGCTTGTTAACACTATCACAATTTTAATGTTGCATTCTGTGATTTATGATGTGAAAGTAAGCAGAAATGGTTTTTTTTAAGAAACACCCTTGCACAGACACTATTAGACATGGATCTGTTAATTTTATGGAATTACACTGAGAAAGCTATAATATACATGTCAATTACTTTCTAAGAACACCACTGCCCATCTAGTCTACAAAATTTAAAAACATACTGAGTTTAGCCTTATCTGTGACCTAAAATAATCCCGATGGCACCAAGATGGAATAATGTCAGTACATTTTTACACTACAATTAATTTACTGTCTCTGTTTAGCTACAATACTAAACACAATTTCCAGGAAATAAGCTACCCTGCCAATAAATAAGTAGACTTCACTATATAATCAAGACTTAAGAAAGATGAATGAATTTCTTAAACATTTACTCTACCATACAAGGTAAGAAGTACAGTAGTTCACTAGACAAATTATTTTAATGTTGTGGACTCAGTGCTAGAGTCATCACAGAAGACATAGGATTAGTTGATCTCCTTTTCCTAATTCAGATCATGATTCTGATTTTGAAAGGTATATCTGACATTGGGTTTTACTGCTTGCCCCATTGCTACACTTCTCTACAAGCAGTTAGGAAATGTCAGCTTCAGAAAATATGAAGTGATTCTAGCAGAAGGTGGGACAGTAGTGGGAATGGTATACAGGACAGTCAAAGATTTTAATGTTTCTTGCTTTCTTTCCTAATCAAAGCAGAAGTGGTAAGCAAGCTCTCAAATGCTTTTAAATGTATTCACTTCTGTTGCACACAAAAGGAAGAAAAGCTTTTTTGGTCACTAGTTCTGCTTTGTCCAATCACTCTCATCAAAGTATTAGAGAAGCTGGTGCACTCCAAAGTCAGAAACTCTCATTTCAAAATGCTCTGAATTTAAACTAGAAATGCTCCATAGAAGCAGATAGTAATTATCTAGCTGTCCTCCAAAATGATTATGGAATTTCATCTTCTGATTTAATGTTATGAGCTTGCTTGGGATTCCTTGAAGTCATTCTATCTGTGATAGAGCAAATGATGTATATTTATGATGTGGGATGTGTTTGTCATAACATATATCAAGTAGATACTTTAGACCAGGGGTGAGTTCTACTTACCTTTATTACCGGTTCGCAGCAGGATCGGATTTGCCCTGGTAAGTCTCTCCGGTACACCAGCAGCAGGCAATGGAGTGCGCCTGCATGGCTGGCACATAGAACAGGGCAGTGGCGGCAGCAGTGCATTTGAGAAGCGAAGCAGAACTGGAGGTCAGTAATTTTCTCTGCAAGAAGCCTGCAGCCGCTGTGTCTTTTTTTTTGGTGCGGTTGACTCCAGCCACACTGAAAAAGAGACACAGTGGCTTCAGGCATCGCAACAAGAGGGGGTGAGATGCAGGCTGGCAGGGAGCCCAGTGGCGACAGCTCAGCCCTTGCTTGCCTTTCCTGGCAGCCAGCCATGGGAGTAAGGTAAGATTGCAGCTGCAGGATGATGAAAGACACAGTCATGGGGGAGGGAGGGAGGAGATTAAAAGATGAGGCCTCTGAAGGAGGGGAAATGGGGCAATACGTCATGCTTAAGGGAGAGTGGGTGGTGACTGGGTGGAGGCTCTGGGGCAGAGCTGGAGCCAGGGAATGGCGCATTCCCCAACCTGGCTGAGGTGGGCAGCAAGTAGGCAGCAGCTCTGGGGCAAGGCTGGATCAGGGAATGATGCATTCCCTGATCCAGCCGAGGTGGGTGGTGAATGGGCGGTAGCTCCAAGACAATGCTGGAGCCAGGTAATGGTGCATTCCCGGACCTGGCTGAGGCTGGCGGTTGCTCCAGGGCTTCAGGGAATGCCATGTCCCTGGACCCCGGACTCCAACCCAAGGTGAAGAGCGAGCAGGCGGCATGCATTTCTTATCTTTGGTGAGCTGAGCAGGTGGGCGAGGCAAGTCAACTGGCGAGGTGAGTAGCTGGGCCGTGTGGCGAAGCGAAGGCAACATATATAGGGCTGGAATGGGTGGGGTGAGCATCGAGCAGGTGGGCAGGGTTTGCATCGAGTGGGTGGGCAGGGTGAGTGAGCGGCGACCAGGTGACAGATGGGGGGCGGGGCCAGCCAGAGGTCACTACCAGTTGGGCAACCCAGGTCAAATTTCCCCTACCAGTTCGCCCGAACTAGTGCGAACTGGCTGAATACCACCTCAGAACTGGAACAATGAAGTCAAAACATTTAAAACAAACAATCAAACAGAAATTTTAAAAAGAAAGAATTAAGTTTCTTGATTTTACAGTCATCTGATAATTCTAACCATGCATATTGCTCTTGAAGGAAAAGCTTCTGAGGATATTTAGTTTAAACAATGATTTGAAATGCTGCTTTCTTTGGGATGCATATTAGTTCCTGCATTTCTGCCTTGCTGATAATGCAGTTGCTTTCTTTATTCTTATCTTTCAAACAAGGTGCCTGCTTGCACTCCGAGTCTCCTCTTAACTAGAAAGCATATATCTGTGTCTTGGCAAAACATGATGTTCTCTTTCTTTCTTTTTTTCTTTCTTTTTCTTTTTCTTTTGAGAAACATTCCTGCAGGAAAGATATTTGTTCTTTTGTTAAACAATCAATATCATATTAAGCCAAATTCCTTTTTATCTTTTTCCCTTTCTGCCTTATCTCGGTCTATTGGTTACATGGACAATGGTTATCCACCTTAGGTTAAAAAGAAACAAAAGGGTGAGAAGTGGAGTGGTATAAACATTATTAATTTTTTAAAAATTGCAATCTTAAATTTAAGTTACACAAAACAAAATAAAAGGGAAGTAGAGAACCAGAGGTTTTTTTATGATAGTACTAGGTAATTTGTTTCTAGTTTTGGTCTGATTACATATTGCTTCAAGCTGAGAACTATTATATGAAGAGCCATTTATATGGAGAGATCCTTTTTAAAGAATGATCTGGGAAGGAGATCAAAACTCCCCATCCTGATTAAGTTATTAACTATCACCTTGACTGATAGTTAAAAAGTATGTCAATTCAGTTCAGCCTTCATCTGGGCAACTTTGCAAACCAGCCAGTAGATTTCAGTTAGTTACTACTACTTGATATTAAGATAAACTTTCCTCAGATATCTACATGACCATCCTTTGCCTATGAACTATTTGGAAGAACAAAGCTACTTGTTACAAATGAGCTCCCATATTACTGAGAATCTCTTGCATATTGTCTTTTATAAAAGTTTATTCCATTGCAAATTTAAAAAGCTGTGGAAAATTAAGAAACTAACTAATTACATTAAATCAAACCTTGATTATAGTCTTCAATAAACCAATGTGCTTTTTCAACTATTTTATTATGGCTGGTGGCTGATGTATGTATGTATAATGGTTTGGTTTGGTTTGGTTTGGTTTGGTTTGGGTTGGGTTGGGTTGGGTTGGGTTGGGTTGGGTTGGTTTTTTTTTTTTTTATCATTTTACACAAGGTTTCTTCTGCCACAACTAAGGAGGAGTCCAACAATTAAGAAAGCATTTTTGGAGGAATTGAAAAGAAATCATCCACTCACCATATTTACCCATAAATTTGTTGGGAAACAAAACACTTTAGATGCCATTTGTGCCAACTCTAATAGTGGTCACAGTCACACTTGTACTGCATTCCCATGGTGGGTCATTTGGAAGGGATGAGCTTAAGTTCCTTCCATCAGTAAAGAAAATGAATCTGTAGCAAACTCTTAAGTTCCTACTTCACTGGCCAACTACCATCTTACCTAGGTGTGATTACCCCTCTATATCAAATCAATCAACCTGCCTTCTAGGCAGAATTTCCAAATGTTCTAGATACCTTGTTCAACAAGGCTTCTAAACCAGGCTTCTTTGACATCCATTGATGATCAAACACATTGAAAAGGCATTCAAATATCTCTTCCACCATGCTGAATTTCAAGAAATCCCATCTTAATGAAGACATTCTTCTGTTACAACCTGGGAATCCATTGGAGAGTGAAAGCTCCTGCTTTGGTCTTGTTATGGTTGGTCATACTTTTGTTTCTTTTGCCTTCTGTTATGTTTAATAAATAAGTAAGGGCTTGAAGCAAACACAGAAAATATTCATACATCTTTTCATTAACAAAGAAGCCAGCAAGAAAATTTGCAATTAGATTTGAATGCAAAGACACAACAAATACGCATATTTATTTATATATATATATATTTAAAATGTTTCATTTTGTAAACAGTAAGGGTCACAAAAGAAACCGAAAGAACCATCCAAATAGTCTACAATATTTGTTTCACTGGTCAAATATTGGAAAAAAACCAAGAACAATATATTCTTAAGAATGTGTGCTCTCTCTGTCTTTCTTAATTCCTATCATGTGCCATTAAATTCATCTGGAATTGTTTGTTCATTCCAATTATAACTACCTAATCAACCATAGACTCATAGTGGTATGCAATAATAATCAACAATAAAACATCCAGACCACACAATCAACAATTCAAAATGCCCATGGTAAAAAATATAGAAGGCAGAAAAACAACAAGAGCAAACTTTACCAATTAACAATAAATGTGCACATAATGATTACTACTATTAATACAAAAGAAGATGATAACATATGAGTCACCAAACACTCTCTGAAAAAGATCTGTATTATTATAACAGATGGATCGAGGCTTAATTCTAAGGGGAGACTATTTTATAGGGCCAGACTACAATACAAAAGCATTATCCTTTGGGTTCAATTCTTTCATTTCAGAAAAGTGGGGTATACTTAGATAAACATGCTGTCTAGAAGCCCAGTGCTACCAGATCCAGACTGCAAAAATCTAGATGACCAGTAAAATGATCCCAATATGCTAGTCCTCTAGAAATTAAAGATTTCCATAAATACAATATGTGAGCTATTAGCATGTCTTAACACCGTGAACATATTAACATATAAATATGAATCAACTCAATACAGCACAGTGTAATTGATTCACTTTAATAAATGCAAACTTTTTTAAAAAAGCCAAAGTTTTACAATTAAAAATATAGAAGAAAGGGTTTTGTTTTTTTTCTCATACTAAATGTGAGCTGGTTTCAGATCTCTTAGCTTTAAAGAATCAGAAGCCTAGTTTTGTTTTGTTTTTAAATGCACATTTCAACTAACAGATTTAAAGATAAAATACACAGAGGGCAAAGGTCTTCAAACATGGAAGGTTTAAGACTTGTGGACCTCATAGCTATGTTGGCTGGAGAATTCTGGGAGTTGAAGTCCACAAGTCTTAAACCTGCCAAGTTTGAAGACCTCTGACATAGGGCAACCTCAATTTCTCATGGTTTCTCAAATTAGGCAAGCCTGTATTCACTTGCCAGTCTTGGACAGAGTCTTTCCCCTGTTTGGGGCATATCAAAGGCAGCTGGAAATTTTTGGAAGAAAAACATTTTCATTTTTGCTTCAGGTTATAACCAGTGGAAGACTTTATGATATCAGTTTCATAATTTGTTCTTTCAGATGTAGCAACCCTATCTGTAGTTTGTTTATGTATTATTTTATTTATTTAATAAAATGTACCTGACTCTGAGCGACTTACAATGAAAACAGAATAAAAATGGTAAAAAAAACAAGCAAAGTTCAAAACTGCAAAAAAAAAAAAAAAAAACCCACACAAAAATAGCAGCCAAGAAAACTTATAACTATTCAAACTAACCATGGTATGGGCTCACCCATACTGTCAGAGCCCCAGGCTTGATAGCAAATCCAGGTTTTTAGTGCCCTATGAAAGACTAACAAGTTTAATTTCTGAAGGGAACATGTCCCATAGGTCAGGGGTCGGCAACCTTAAATACTCAAAGAGCCACAAAGGTCCTACCTGGAAGTCCCCGTTCAATTCTGGAGCTAACCAGAAGTCCGGTTCCCCCATCATAGTCTCCTCCTAGCACGGCATCATTTTTCCTCTGCTGACCGGAAGGTGGTTCCCCCCACCATTAAGTCTCCTAGCACAGCATCCCTTTTCCTCTACCTAACCGAAAGCCCTATCAATCATGGAGCTGACCAGCAACAGGGAGCCGCAGCAGAGGGATGAAAGAGCCACATGCGGCTCCAGAGCCACGGTTGCTTATCCCTGCCATAGGTGATCACTATAACACAGTGATGGCGAACCTTTTAGGCACAGAGTACCCAAACCGGAAGGTGCATGTGTGAGACAGAGCATTGGAAACCCAATGACTAGCTGGCCGGCATGCATACGCATGTCAGAAACCTGACAACCAGCTGTCTGAGCTGGGGTTGTGCCATAGGTTTGCCATCACAGCTATACAGTAGCAGAAAAGACTCACATCTTGGGTTCTCCTGGGTTCCAACAAATAAACATTGTCTCACAGATGAGACCTGGATATGCCAGATTAGTTCCTAAAGCCAAAGCTGTAGCAACAGAAGGTACATTCTTATATACTCTATGTATGCATCTATGTAATAATGCTTTCTTCCTCGAATCCTGATACATAGATAAATAGCAATTCCAGTACACAATTTATTTCCTCTCTTCAGGTGTTCATGGCCCCAGCTTAGGACTTCTGGTCTGCAGAAATCCAGATGACCACTAGATATATTCAGTTTTTACACCCCTATTCATATTATTATTTTCAGGGACCTTAATTTGCAATGCAGGGCATTTTTCCAAATTACTGATTTAACATGCTGTTTTTAAACAAAAGCCTAGCTTGTGTTTCCATGAAGGTACAGAGTTTCACATCTCTTTGAAGGGTATGCAGTATTTGTCCTGTTTCTCCATTGTCCTAGGTCAAATATATAACCTGTCTTTCATCTTCCTCAGTGAAACTAGTCTCGTTGCATTTGTCGTATTATTAATAACATGTCAACTATGAAGACAAGCTATTAAAAGAATGAAAGGAACAACACGAGGGGAATTCTATTGAACTCTATTAGGAAAGATTATACAATGATTAAATTATGATTAAGAAAGGTATG